ACATGTACCTTTTCGGGTGTTTTTCTGCTCAGGTGTGAATAGGGGCCATTGAAAATCATGGGATTTCTTCTGTTGGACATTCAGGGCCTGTTAACACGACGTCGGTTTTCTGTGCTGACCTGATCCGTACGCTCCTGCACTAAAAATGCATCCCAATGTATCCCTATGTGTTTTATGGGCTACAGTTCTCACGTGCGCAAACCGTTCAGGTTATGACAGAAAAAAATACTGCATGTCACATTTTGTCCGGTCAGGAAACGGACCGGAAACACAAAACGCGTCAAAAAAAACCCTGCACTGCAGCTAACATACTGACAGCCCCACTCCAGCAAAAATATAAAAAATATATTTTTTTAACTGGAACACATCAAAAACCCGGCCAAAACGCAGCAAAAACGCACTGCATCAGTAGCACCGCGTCTGCAGATTCGCACCTGATCAGGGCCTGATATCATGTGAACAGGCCCTTAAAAGCGCTTTTCCAACTGCTCAAAAACGCCTAAGTGTGAACCATTGAGCGATTTATCGCGCGGTAATTCCCGCGATATCGCGGCTATTTACCGCGCAATATCGCCCTTCAATGCTTTGCAATGGGGCAAAGGGTCCTGCTGTCGCGGGCCGTGTGGCTACAGCAGGACCCTTTTTGGAGCGGATTTTGCCGCGATTCAATGGTTTTTGATGCAAGCATTTGCACGATATCACGCAAAATGCAAATCGCGCAACAATTTGCGAATTGCTCAATGTGAACGGGGCCTTAGAGTTTAAAGAATCAGCTGAGCATTGGTCCTTATATCCTGCTTTAAGGTGGCACCTTTCCCTTGCAGGTTCCTTGTGCGTGCTGGTGTGCAGTGGCGTCACAAGGGGGGAGGGAGGTTTGGGAGGATCGGCCCCCACCAGGTGACACCATAAGAGGGGGTGACACCGGTGGGGAGAGGGGGGGCAGCTGGGCAGGACACCAGCCGGAGCTTCCTGCTCATCTCCTGGCAACCAGTGACATCACTGATTGCCGCAAGATGGGGAGTACACTGGCCAGATCATCCCGCTCAGCTCCTGGAAACCAGTGATGTCACAAATGTGTATATATATATATATATATATATGTATATATATACACACACACACACATACTGTATATGAGATAAGAGAAAGCAACAGCATTTAATTTGTATTATTTATACTGATCTCCGTCAAAGTGTTGTCAATAAAGCTGATGCAGCTGCAATACCCGTGAGTGTCACAATACAGTACCTACTTTGCATATATTAAGCCTAAGTGGTATTTTCCTTTAACAAACCTGCAGTTTAGGAAATGTAATCTTGTTGCCCCTCCAATCTTTTCCTAGTAACAGCAAAGGAAGTACCTGGTTGCTATGGGCAACAAGACGAGCAGGCACTTCTGATCATAAGCACCGATATGCCTCTACCTAATGTAGCTGAGAGGTGATAAGGATAATGCTGACCTTCCTTAGCAATGACGATCTCTGGTGTCTCCCATTGACTGATACATACAATAAAGAGATAGCACAGAGGTTCATTTCAGCGTGTAGAGATTACTAAAGCATATGTCTGTCTAGATAATAGATATGGTACACACCACTCCCCGCACACAATACATGTCTGCGTCCACACACCCAGAGAATACATGTTGTATGCATTATCCCGCTGTTTGCCTGGTATCCTTGGCAATGGCGGCTGCTGGGAATACACGGCTGTGGGTATCCGGGCAGCCCCTGAGATGCACCAAGAATGTGTCGGCTTTGTCGTCCTTGTTTGTCCTCGGGACAATGCTGTAGACAAAATGTTCGGAACTGTGGCCAGTTTTCCTTTATGAGGATATGGGGAGGGAAGCAGAGAAACCTGTATCCTTACAGTGTATTTAAAGCCCAGATTTTTATTTTGCATGGATAAAGGAGAGGACAGATAGAACTTAATTTGGATTTTTATTGCTGTCTTTCTGTCCTTGCCGGAGGGATTCCCTACTGGGGACCATTGTCACTGAGACCAAAAATGTTACAGTTGTCACTAGAACATGATTAGAAGAGACATCTTAGGAAAGGGACACCTGTTTGAAGGACAACCGTTTCCACTCACTTGCTGAGTTCCCCTTCACTTCCTGTTGTATCTCCAGCACAGGATGTGAATAGGGTTGTCACCTGTCGGGATTCACCCATGCAGTCCGGGTTTTGAATGCCGGGTTTCATGGCAGAAGAGACCCAGACACAAGATGTCAGGCAGACAGGGGCAACCAAAATTAAGATAGGGGCTACTGGCCCCCCACTGAAAATAGTCTCAACTGTGATATTTACATATAAATGGGTGGCACTATTGACACATGAATAAGCCGCAACTCATTCTCCCCCAGAAATTCTGTGCGCTGCTAGAGTGTTTGGGTTTCGCTGAAAGAAAGGGTGGCAACCCTAGATGTAAAGGGAAATATCTCAACAGAAACTACAAAAAAAAAATGATGGCGGTCTTAACCTTGTCCAACTCTATTCAAAACTAAACTGAAAATAATTGCCTATAGCAAGGATAGGCAACCTTTGTACTCCGGCTGTAGTGAAACTACAAATCCCAATGTGGCCGTCAGAGTCTTGCAATGCCTCATGGGACTTGTAGTTCCACAACAGCTCAGGGTTGCCTACCTCTGGCCTATAGATACACTTTATAGCAGAATCTTTCTCCAAGCCTTCCGCCAGCAACTTCCTGCGTAGACGATCAGTAACTTCATTACAGACGTGTGCATGAAGCCTGATGCATATGCCACAATATTGGCACCGGGGAGCTTATCTGCCTGGAATGTGTGGCTCCTCCCAAAAATAAGCCGACAGGTTAATGTTTGTCTGTTGTAGGAACATAAAACTATAAACTCTGTCAGGGCGGGGACTGATGTGAATGACTCAGTGTCAGCAGTTTATCAATAAGTATAATAGGTCATAATAAATATTGACCATTGATATGTCATATAAGCTGGCATACCCAAGAGTGGGAGGAAACACCCAAAACTCCCTGGTACGAATTATAGTAGGGAGTAGGGATGAGCTCAGGTTTGGACTGAACCTGGGCTCATCCGAACCTGGAAAAAGCTGTCAATGCTGACCCAATCAGCTGCAGCTAGGACATTCCACAACCCGCAGCTGCACATGAAAAAAGGGTGGGATGCTGGTGACATCATTGACCTCATATGGCCATATTTGGTAAATTATGTCACCTGCATCCCACCCCTTTGTCTACATGCAGCTATAGGGTGCGAAATACCTTTTCCGAAGCTGATTGGGCTGGCACTAACAGCTTCTTTCCCGGTTAGGATAAGCTGAAGTTCGGTCCAAACCCAAGCTCACCTGAACCTAGAAGGAAGCCGTTAGTGCTGGCCCAATTTAGCTGTGGTAAGGGCATTTCCAGTCCTGCAGCTGCCCACACATAAAGGGGTGGCATGCTGGTGACATCATTGACCTTTTATGACCATATTTGGTCAATGACATTGACCTTATATAGCCACATAGCCAGATTTGCTCAATGACATTGACCTAATATGGCCATTTGGCATATGGCTATCCCACCTCAACCCAACCACTGAACCATCACGTTCTCAAACAATTCTTCCCCACTCAGCTACCTCCTCATGTATCACTTCCCCCTCCTCTTTTAGATTGTAAGCCCCAGGAACAGGGCCCTCCTTACCATCTTGTCTTGAATTGTATTGTGATTGTAATGTCTTCCTTATATTGTAAAGCGCTGCGCAAACTGTTGGCGCTATATAAATACTATGTAATAATAATAATAATATAAGGTCAAATATGTCACCAGCATCCCACCCCTTTGTGTAAACAAAGCAGCTATAGGGTGGGATTGCCCCAGTCGCAGCTGATTGGCCCGGCACTGACAGCTTCCTTGCTAGTTAGGATGAGCTTGGGTTCAGACTAAACCCGAGCTGATCCCTACTAGGAGATTTTGCTATTAGAGTATCCAAGACATACAAGAAGCAAGGGGCTGGATGGTTCCACCTAGGAATAAAATATCACTTTTGGGGATACTAACCCCCTATATTTTCATGTCTGTAAGCAACTTTGATTCTGGCTTTGTGTGTGCTCCATGATAATAAACAATGCAGCAACTATAGGAAAGGCCATAAATTCAGGGTGACACAATCTAGCATTTATGGATGAAACTTTACAACCTTTCAGCCTGAATTGTATACTAAGAATTCAGAGAATCTTCTTGTGCACTGGAAGGAATGTGGGCTGTCATTGTCATCCTTTCAGGCCATGTACAGCTGCTCCTAAAAAATTAACCTAATTTCAGGCTCATTTGCATACACCTGTACAGAGCAGAACAACGAACTGACGTAACCTTGTGTGATATTGCAGATATCTCTAAAATGTTACATTAAAAATGCCACAAATACAATGTAAAAGACAGAAGTGTATTAGACTTCCTCGTTTTTTCCATTATTCTGAAGATGGACTCCAGGCAGCTATAAAAGACGCAAATTTAAGCAACTTTGTATTCATTATTATATCATATTTTTATAAATGCAAGCAACGTAAATACTTGAATTTGTTTGGTGTCAGTCCCTGTACAACAAGCAGTACAAGGAGCCAATCAGTTAATGTGCTGACAAGAAGCGTGCTGATAGTTTGGAGAAAGCAGAGTGATGGAGAGATGAGCTCATCACTGTACTGCTTCTCCTTTCCCTGTCCAGTGGTAGGCTGGGGGCGGTTCCAGGATAACCTGGGTTCAGAGGAAGTGGGTAGAATGATGACTGAGGACATCTAGTGGCAGAAAAAAGGTACTGCAGAGAAAGTCTATGGATTAAAAGTGAACATTGCAGCAAAATCCGCATTTGTTTCTTTATCTTTTAATGGTCTATTCATTTTTATCTTGTTTTTGTTTCCTGATGTTTGGCATGTATTTGGCTTTTACAGGATAACTGTATCTTTTTAAAAAATGAGTCAATTTTATCAGTAAAAATATGAAATGTTTCTTCTGTCTTGATTCCTCCAGGGACCTTTCAGGAAACCAGCTGACTGTGCTCCGCATGACAGTCCTGAGTGAACTCAGGAGCCTCCGACAACTGTGAGTAGGAAGTGATGGAGAGAGAAATCCACTTATATTTCCTTCATGAGTAGAGGATATTAAAACTTTATAATTTACACGCTCGGCTTTAATCTGCCATATCTCTCCTCCTGAGATCTGGGCGCCGATCCCACCCCACAGTATGACTGTTAAAAAGCAGGAAGGGTCTCACTACTCCTCCAGCATTCTCCATAACCTGACTGGTAGGTCGAGACGACCTTTTGTTGTCTGTAACAGAGGGGAGGAACTACACTTGAACAGAACCCAACTTCAGTAATTTGAAGCTGAACTCCGGGATAAGCAAATATTGTCTAAAGCCAAGAGTCATGTGTATTCTTCCTTGAATCTTGCTGAGTGTTGTGTATTTCTTCCAGATCTGTGCAGTAATTCAATGTGACACTTGGAGCTTCCTGTAATAAAGACCGCTCACTGCTGCTTTCTGTCCTTGTGCGGGGTGACTGGTCTTGTCCCCGCCCCCTCCTGTAATAAAGATCGGTCACTGCTGCTCTATGTCCTTGTGCAGGGTGACTGATCTTGTCTCCGCCCCTTCAGTAGTTTTCTGCAGGCAGCTTGTAGTGAGTGGAGCCTGTTGAGCCCCTCCCACAGCTCTGCTCTACGCGCAGGCTATGTACAGCACAGTGATGACATCACCTCTACTTTCACAAGCTGATAACTGGTATAATAAATGGTCTTTGTAGAGCAGCCAGCTGTCCTTTTTTTAGATGTACAAGTCAGGCTTTCATGTTCGTGAAAAAAAGGGATTTTAATATATGTATTTATATAATTTACACAGCACTTTACATACTGTACATTCACATCCCTCAATGAGCTTACAATCTAAGATCCCTATCTCACATGCATACACATACTAGGACCAATTTACCTACCAACATGTCTTTGGAGTGTGGGAGGAAACCTACACAAGCTCAGGGAGAACATGCAAACTCCATGCAGCTAGTATCTTGACCAGGGTTTGAACTTAGGACTTCAGTTCTGTATGCCATTGAGCTGCCCACCATTAAGCCATTGTTCCATATATATCTGCACATGGTAGGCTGGTTGGATGCAGGTTTGTGTAGATGGAAGAGGGGCATGAACTTGTCCAGTTGATTGGTACCAGTGGTCATTAGAAGCCAATGATAACCTATGCAAGGGGTAGGCAATCCCAGCACTCCAGCTTTTTTGTAGCTACAAGCCTCATGAGGCGGTGCAGGACTCTGACAACAATAGGCATGACTGCCAGAGGCCCGAGGGATGGTGGGATTTGAAGTTTCATCACAGTTGGTGTTCTAAGGTTACCTACTCTTAACCTAGGCCCTTCACTGAAGGATTATATTAATTTTGTTCCAATTCCTGACCTGTTCTTTCTTTGTTCAGCAATCTAAGTCACAACCAAGTTTCCATTATTGAAGAAGCAGGGATGGGCTCACTCTTATAGTATTTTCTGCCTGCCAGCTATTTTCTTCTATATGTACACTGAGCCATGCATGCATACAATCTATGCATGTTGTGGGTGCTGGAGCCAAGCAACTCATGGCACATGCCAGTGAAGATGGCTGAAGACTACTGACCGGGATGAAGACCAGTGGCACTGAGATTATGCACTGAGATGTGCAAGCATACCAAAAATAGAAGAAAACTGCTGGCAGCAGAAAATAAACTGGTGCCTGTGTGTGCATGTCTTAATCCATACTGTTGGCAATCTGATCATTATACTTCTATATTTCTGATTTTATTCTTTTCTGACATGAAACTATTTCTTTATTGCAGAGATCTGTCTGGTAACCGTTTACTATGCAGTTGTCCCCTACATGGTTTAATATCACATTTGCCAAAGGGAGTAAAACTGATCATGGACCAGGAGGTGGAAAGCTGTGCTCATGACTCTAGTGTATTACTGATGCCGTGTGGTAAGTAGTATGATATAATACATTTCAAATGTATGTTATTTAACATTGTCGCTGCATGTACAAAAATGACAATGCGATCCATTTGAAATAATTTGTGCTTTTCCTTTGTAGCCGAGCGCTATGTCTCATGTGTATGGGGCCCACCACACTATGTGCTGCATTACTCTCTCATCACCCCTGATCCTTTCTCCAACAATAGCTGCCTCGTTCTCTGTTTCCGTCATGGCTATTCTTATTATGGACTGGACAGTATGCAACGTTGCCTTTGTGGCTCGGTCACCTCCAATGAAGAGGACCCCTGTTCGGGGGTGTGCTCAAGACATGGGAATATTTACATGTGCAATAAGAGTATTATTCAGGATATACATGCTGTGCAGGTAAATGTATGAATTATACTTAAAACCAAGCTCCTGGTAAGCAGAAGAATAGATGGATATAATACAGCTATGTGAGCTATGTCTTATCTGCCAAGGGATTTGTGATTCTATCCAACTGGTCTTGTGACTAATACACCTCTTACAAAGCGTAGCCAGGAGGGTGACAACACCTTCCTTAAGTTAGGGATTATAGTGGTTTCACCTCCCTGTCCTCAGTCTGGACATGAAAGGAGCAGCAACAATCCGTCAACTCTGCTTCCATGCCCTCTAGGCATATTTACGTTCAGCACATATGCACATAAAGCATGAAGCAGAGCCGGATTGGCTCCTTGTGTTGCCCCTCCTATATATATATATACACTGAGTGGCCAGATTATTATGACCACCCCATCAGTACTTCGTTGGGCCACGAGATGACTCCACGAGATGACTTCGTTGGGCCACCTCGTGACTCCACGAGATGTTGAAAGGTGATGCGAGGAATCTGACACGGCACTGTTGCCCTTCTGTTGTCTTGTACCAGTCTTGCCACTCTCCGTTCTGCCCTAACATTGACTAGTCGCTGACGGCCACAATTCGCACGTTCAGACCCAGATTTTCGGCTGACAGACCAGTCTTTAAACACTTTAACAACAGCTGCTCTTGCACGTTTAACGAATTCTGCTGTTTTGCTGATACTCGCTCCATGGCTCCGAGCGCCAACAATCATCCCACATTCAAAGGCTGTTAAATCGCGTTGTTTCCCCGTATCTTCAGAAAAAAATCACTTCTACTGTCGTGGTAAACAACCTGCTTCCCTATTTATAATGGTCTGGCCCTCTAGCAACTTCAGCACCAAATTATAGCTAATTTGCCTACAAACGTCAGGCGGTCATAATAATCTGGCCACTCAGTGTATATATACATCATTGTTTTTTAGAAAGAAATACAAAGCTGCAATTTACTTATATCTAGAACTTAGCTTTAATGTTGTGTTGCTTTTATTTTTATTATTACTGACATTATTTGTATACTGAATGCTTCCAGTGGTGCAAGCCTTAGTGGTCAGTAAAAGTCATATGCCTGTGGCCCAAACTTGGCTACGGTTAGTCAGGTCTGGGAGGAGTTTGGACATGTTAGGTTAGGCATGCCTTCCTTTATTCATATGTCTAGCAGTTTGCCATCATACTTCTAATGCTGTCTTAGAAGGCCGTTTATTAAAGGAGAACTATGGGGTTAAGGCTTTTCCCCATAGTTCTCCTTAGGGTAACGGGAGGACACAAACTAGCGTCCTCCCGTCACCCTAGGCTCAGTATACCGCGAGCTGTAGCTCGCGGTATACTGAGACGCCACAGCTGAAGCGGATCCCGACAATTATGTCTGAATCCGCCCAGCTGTGTGACTGAGAGCTGGCTCTGCCTATTTAGAGGCAGAGCCAGCTGTACCCGCCCCCTCCCCCGTCCGTTCTGCCAGTCAGCGCTGGCGGATCGGAGCGGGGAGGGGGGAATCCAGCCCCTCCCCTGTCACGGCAGAGAGCCGTGACAGGATCGAGAGGTGAGCGAATGCCGGTATGTGTTCGCTCACCTCCCGATCTACTAAGACGACCTGTGACAGTCTCATTGTCACAGGTCGGCTAGAACTATGAGGTGAGTTAAAAGCACTCACCTTATAGTTCTCCTTTAAGCAATAGTACGGCCTTACCACAGCCATACTGCTGCTGTAGTCAAAGAATATTGTACATTGCGGTGGTGAGTCTTATGTAGGACACTGCAGGCTAAACACTGCAGCCTGCATTTTATGAATGGGTTGTGAAATGAGGGTTGCAGTGTTTATAAATACTGTGATGTGTATAGTGGAGTGGATAGTACTGCCCATCCAGATGGTAAACTTAGTAAAAGAAACTCGCTTAGAGGACACTGAGGGAAGTTTTTTTTATATGTCTGTAATGTGTCCTTACAAGGTTTGGCACTATCTTGTGTACAATAGTTGGTAACAGAGGTTCTGTTTCCTGATCTGAGAGTATTCTTTCCCAGTCAGATCATAGGGACTTGAAAAGGGAAAAGGGTCTAGGTCACTCAGTAGAGCCTGTGAAAGAAGCAGATGTGTAGCCTGAAAGCAATTCAGGGGAAGTGAATTGAGCTATGAGATGTTATACTGTATGTAGAGTGCCTCTGGAAGAAAAAACTGACACACTGCAGAATGACTTGTCATGTGCAAGTTACATATATTTTACATAAAATCCGTGAAGATCAAATCGAAGAGTTTTCTTTACTGTGGTTACAGCTACATGTCTGCACATTGCAGCAGCTTGCATATGAGCCAATGCGGCATGTGACTAATTTTCAGTTTCCATTTCTACAGTGATGAGCTCTCAAAATGCTTGTGACATACTTTCAAGAGGCTTCAGCAAGTTCTAGAACAGGAAATCATAAAATATATGAAAATAAGTTTAGATGAAGATGATAAAAAAACTTCAATGTCATTTTGTTTGAAGTTGACATGGCCTTGGCATGCAAAAAGCTGATTCATGGCCTTTATGTAGTAAGATATGGTTGTAAGTACACTTTCTAGGACTGGCAGAGGCTGGTATGTAGACTGCAAAAGCCTTTGCACAGAGCGGAAAAAAAAAACTGCTGTCGCTAGCACTCATCCACCACTTCAAATTGCTCCAACTTCACAGCTTTGCTCAGATGAGTAGAGGAACCATAAATAAAAAAGGAACCCACAAGTGGATAAAGTAAATTAGATTTTTATTCAAGAAAACGGAATGAGAAAATCTGCCTAGGGTTAGTTTGTAAACAGGTTTGTGAATCTTGATTAAAGTTTGAAGATTGCTAACTTTAGGGCAAACCTCATTAAAGTCTATGGGTGGTGAACTTTGTTATTCAATTCTGTCCATATGTAGGGCTAATAAGCTAGGTATTATCAAAGTCATGGGAGGCCTGGCATTGCAATAGGGATCATGTAACAATACTAAAATAATAATAATACTTTTTCTCCCCTTATCAGTGGCGTAACAATCGCCGTAGCAACCCAGGCAGCCGCTATGGGGCCCGTGGCACAGGGGGCCCGGCCAGGACATCCCCCTGATGCCGTGCGGGCCGCCTGGGTTGCTATGGCATCTCAGGCTGCTGGCTGTCACTGGTGGGTGTGAGGAGGACCGTGTCGCTGTTACATCACTGATAACCTTTCAGTGATCTATGCAGCGGCACGTTCCTTCTCACAGCCGCTACTGAGTCAGTGACAGCCCATCTATGAATCATAAACTTTGCAAATTCTGGGGATTCACCATAAAAAACAGTATATTTTCTTACACATGATTGGCTGATGGACGTCAACAGACCTTCATCTCATTTACTATGCTAAGGGGAAACTTCCCTTACAAAGTGCACATTTTTTGCAAAGTGAACAGCCCATTGGTCTTCAGTAAAGAATCCCATGCTTATTCAGCATTAAGATACTCAGTGGTCTTAATGGCTACATTGACCACACAAACAGCCTTTATAAAACAATTGATCATGTTTTCCTCATGAGACATTTCTCTTCTTATTTTCTTTACAGGTGACTATATTGCTTTCAGCCCCTTCTTACTACAATGTCCTGCAGCCTGCCGAGTTCCGTGCAGTAGCCTCTATCCCTGTCGCCCAGTTTATTTGGGATTTTCAAGATGGAAGCAAATCACTTATCCCTGCTAATGGAATGGTCAGTCATAGATATAGTCTTCCTGGGAAATACACTGTAAAAGTAAGACCAGAAGCACAGCAGCCAGAAGCAGAAATGACAGTGACCATGGCGGTAGCATTAGACATGGCCGAACTGCACTGCCCAGAGGTGGCTCAAACAGGGCAAAGTGTAGAAGTATGGCTACAAGTCAACCAGGGGACAGATCTTCAAGCTGTCTATAGCATTCAGCTGCCAAATGGTCAACTATTGACAGGTAGGAAAATGTCAGTGGGGAAGGGCTGTGGGATATGATTTTCTTGTATAGATATTTTTTTCTTGTTTCTGTCACTGGACTATGCCACTAACTAACTAACTAACTAACTAACTAACTAACTAACTAACTAAGATCTCCTGCAGCAGTAACCTGGACACCTGGGACTCGAAGTTGTGATTCTGGCTCGTACCTTCACTCCAACCACTGCTGATGTTTTACTCGGTGTCAGATTTATATTTGTTTATGTCGTGTGGGCTGACAAGCTGGATCAGGAATTTTTAAATTGTTCCAATTTATAGATGCTCTGTGGAAGAGATTCTGAGTCACGTGGTCTTCCTGTTGCCCAGTTACTCTTACCCTCAACTTAATCTTTAACTCCAATGATAAACCTGAATCTAACCCTTAAACTTGAAGCTAACCCCTACACCTGACCCTAAATATCAACCTATCTTCTAAACCTAACCCAAAACCTCAACCTAGTTCCTATATTTAAACATAATCTGTCCGCCTTTCCCCTAAATTTAAAACTCAACCTGCTCCCCTAACCCTAACCTTAAACTTTAACCTGTCCCCAAAACCTAACCTTAAACCTTAACCTCTACTTAAAACACAACCTTAAACTTCAACCTGTCCCCAAAATCATACGTTATTCTTCAAGCTGTCCCCTGTCCCCTGTCAGACTGTAATTTTGAATCTGTCCCCTAAACCTTACCTTAATCTTCAACCCGTGACCTAAACTTAACCTTAAACATCAACCTGTCAACCAAAACCTAACCTCAATCTTCAACCTGTCCCCAAAACCTAACCTCAATCTTCAATCTTTCCCCAAAACCTAACCTTAATCTTCCACCTGTCCCCAAAAGGTAACCTTAAACTTCAACCTGCCCTAGAAACCTAACCTTAAAAATCCACCTGTCCCCTAAATCTTACCTTAAACTTCAAGTTGTCCCCGAAATTGGACCTTTATCTTTAACATGTCCCCTTAATCTAACCTCAATCTTCAACCTGTCCCCAAAACCTAACCTCAGTCTTCAACCTGTCCCCAAAACCTAACCTCAATCTTCAACCTGCCCCCAAAACCTAACCTTAAACTTCAACCTGTCCCAGAAACCTAACCTTAAAAATCAACCTGCCCCCTAAAACTTACCTTACAGCTGTCGCTGAAATGTGGACCTTAATCTTTAACCTGTCCCCTAAACCTAACCATAAACTTCAGCCTGTCCCAATAAAAGAACCTTCCTCTTCAACCTGTCCCCTGAACAACCTTAAATGTCAACGTGTCCCTAAGCTTCAATCTAACCCCTAAACCTTATACTAATACAGTACCTAAATCTTTACCTAACACCTCAAGCTAACCCTTGACCTGCTACTAAAACTTAACCCGACTCCAAACCTCATAGTGACCCATGCATGTGTTTCTGGCACTAACAATGATTAAAATTCTGTCATCAATGTATAAACAACAACTATTTTGGCCCTGACATGCAATGTACCAAATTACAGATTCTGAAAAGCCAACTTTAAAATGTCTGTGCAGAATGCTTATCTGTTATCTGTTGCTATTGTAAATGTGGGTGTCAACTGGAGAAAAATGTGCAGATGTGACAACTGAAAATTCCCACCATTGCACAACAAAGTTCAAGAATAAGGAGGAAAAGGCTTTGCATGACTGCTTGTTGAATCGCTTGATTAGCATAAATGCAGCAAGGCCTTTCTTGATTTTCCTATAGAAATTTATCGCCACCTTGTGTTTAAAATTGGAAACTTTTGAGCTTATTTCAGAAACTGTTCTCAATCTAAAGTACCCTCTCCGTTCCCGCACTTACCTTCTAATATCTTCTTCTTGATAACCTCATCTCTAGGGTTGCCACCTTTTCTTCAAGCGAAATCCGAACACACTATTGGCGCGCTGACATTTTTTTGGGGAGATTGAGTCTTGGCTTATTCATATGTAAATAGCCCCACCCATTTATATGTAAAAATCACAGTTAAGACTATTTTCAGTGGGGGCCCCAGTAGCCCTTATCTTAATTTTGGTTGCCCCTGTCTGCCTCACATCTTGTGTCTGGGTTTCTTCTGCCATGAAACCCGGACACAGCATTTAAAACTCGGACTGTTCGCGTGAATGCTGGACAGGTGGCAACCCTACTCATCTCATGCACAGCTCCAAGGTTTTTCTTGTGCTGACTCATTGTCTGGATTTCTCCACTATAAAAGAAACATTGTCTTTCAATAAACTTTGAATCAATGTCCCTCTTGATGTGTGAATACAACACCTTTCCTGCATTGGTTTGCTGGTGACTTCTGCCGGAAGGATCCTCATTTCCGTTTTGTTTGAAGTAGACTCCTTGAATACCAGGAACATTGATATTAGCACCCAGCACACAAGCCCTGGCAATTCACTTGAGTTCTTTGGGTCACCTTTGCAGCTATTGTCCCAAGCATGACCAACCTACAGATGTTGTCTGTCAGATGTAGACAGATGTATGGACCTTTTTGCAGTTCAAGATGAATTAGGTGTGAGGCGCTGGACTCTAATCTTTCATCCATCAGACAAGAAGTGGCCGTAAGAATGGGGGGATTAGCTTTGGCAGCTCTATAACAAAACAATGTGGAGGCCTCCTAAATTGAGAACAACTACAAAGAATAGGAAAAATCAGCGTAAAACCACAATCTTTTACTGTTAATAACAATATGGCGACGCAAAGACAAACGGTATGCAATGCTTTCCAGGGGCCAACAAATCCCCCTTCATCAGGGCTTAAATTGTGGACTTCTGCAGCCAGATCCTATTCAATAAGCAGATTTATTTCAAATTGTATAAGTCTTTCCTTTTTAGGTAAACTGCAGATTTATGGAGTTGTCCTTGTTTAATAGCTTAAATGTAACTTTATTCCAGATGATTCCTCCTGTCCCCGTGGAGGCAAAGTTTTTGGTGAAAATCTGCATTGCTATTGGCTAAATCAAGTGAAAGAATTGCTGTCAGAGGCTCGTAATCGTTGCAGATTAATACCTGGAGCTGATCTTGCATACATAACCTCTGCTGATCAAATCAGTTTCATCCAGGAGTCCTTCAGAAGGTAAAAGCAATATGTTGGATTTTGATACCAGGAAACCAGCAATGTTAGTTTTCAGTACAGAGTTGTCAATGGAGAAAACAATGACCTATCTTGAGGCCCCTCTCACAGTAGCCTTCCCTGTAACCCCAACATGAACCCCCACAGCAACCTTTCCTGCAAGTCTAACCCTAACTAGCACCATTCTAACTGGACAAAGGGAGCTGCAAGCAAGCTTCTATGAATATACATATATATA